TAGATGTCGGTAATTATCAGCCTTATTGTGAAATACTATTTTAAGGAAAACTTCATTCTATACACTTCTACCACTGAGTAAGAATGTTACTGCAAAGTCACCAAGCGAGCTTTAATTTGAAAACTCTTCACTATTAAGACTTCTACCTAATCCTATTGAAAATTAACCAGATATACATATATACTCACATCTTCTGATGGAATCTGGCCTTTGGCAAGTCCTCGTTCTTTTCTTTTAAAATATATTCACGGCCACCTTTAATGCAACCAATTAGATACTCCTCTTCGCTGTGTTCGGTATTCATGTTCATGTTGAAGCTACGAGTATATAATTTTAATGAGTAATAAAAGTGAAACTGCTCATTTTTGTAATGCTTACATAGCTTTATCCTCCTTTGAAAGATCCTGCCATAAATCGCCAAATTTATCTGATCTAAAGCACCACGGATGTAGAGTGAAAAACTGCAAAACGTCAAGACCGGTGGAGATTTTGTTTTGAACGCGAACCATGCTGAAATATTGGCAAAGAATGAATTGTGTACGTATTTATACATACATATGTACGTATGTATGTATGCAAGTATGATTGGCTAAATTGAAGAATAGAGGGTGTTTCAAAAAGAGTTGTTGGTTTTTCTTCTAAATATTTTTCTTTTTTTCACATATAAAGTTCAGATATTTAGGTCCAGTTTTTATAATACGAAAATTTAAGCTTTTTTGCGACTTCTTTTTCCAATATATTTTATATGTATTTTAGCATTTTTAGTTTGTAATCATGTTTCATAAATATTTTGCCTCTTTTCAAGAACAATGAACTTTTCAGCGTACGAAAGGGCTATAAATATATATTCGATCAACCTTTATAGTTTTTTACATATTTGTTTTTTTTTTATCAAAATAAGGAATCTTCTCTGCCCCTTAAACTTTTTTTTTTTATAGAAAATATGTAATAGTTTTGGTCAAAATATATTTGCTGTTATTGGATTTTAATTTTACCGATAATATCTATTTAATTAATTAGTTAGAAAAAAACATCCAGATTGAAAAACATGACCAAATAAATAAAACATGCCACAAAAGAAAATAGAAATAGGCAATAGTTTCAGTCTCTGGTTAAATTTGGAAACTTATTTGTAAAAATTAATTTTTTTTCTAACTTTTCGACAAAGCTCCAAATTTCTACACCCTTTAATTAAAAAAAAAAAAACTTACAATCGCTTTTGCCCGAATATCAGTAGTAGAAAGTCCAAGAAGTATGCGGGCAACCAATGGAACATCAGCACGTTGAAGTGATGGTACAACTTGTTGGTTGTGATAACAGTATCGGGATACCAGAGCCCCACATTGAGTGGATAGTCACGTCCCAAACGCTTACACATGCTGATCACATCACCCATTTTCGTCTTACGGTGATCGGCATTAGTGATATTGTAGACGGGCACCTCGGTGGGACTAAAAAGAATTAATGACTACTTATTTTGATACTAATATACTACATATGAGCATATAAATAAGAAAGTTTGCTATGAATCAACCCTCAACATAACGGTTCTGATTTATTACGACAGATTTCAAATTGGGCTTTAAATGACAAAAAATTTAGTACACACTCATTAAAAAGCTTTAGCCGATAATAACACCGGGCAACAGTCAATTTTACACACACAAAAATAAATATAACTACTCGCGAAACTAGGGGCCAAATACTACATATAGGAAAAAGGCGTTGTGAGTTTTTATCTCTCAAGTCAGAAATTTTTCAAATCGGCCTTGAAATTTTAAAATTTATTTAAAAAATTATTTTGAAAAATTCAGTGCAATGAATGTTGGAATAATAATTCAACCATGAGTGCAATGTAGAACAACAATATGGATTCCAAATTAAAAAAAAACTTCTGCGGAATTGAACAAAATAAATTCTTTTGGTGAACCGAAAGGAAAATATCCTTTTAAAGTTTCATTTTTGAATATCCTTGAAATTTTCCAATAGCTATTTTTGAAAAAATAAAGGCAGTCCGCCCTGTGAAGCCCATATAGCTTTCAATTGCCTTTATGCAGGGGATTAATTGAGTTCTCTTTGCATGCCTGCACCCACTTACCGTGCGCTGTTCTTGTTAAATTCGTATGGCATCACAATCAGTCCGTTGATGGCATAATCGACTGGAATAACTTCGGAGCGATTATTTTCATCTACAAGCACGGAGCGTATGACGCCTTTGCCAACGCCAATCATCAGACCTGTGGGTCCATTTAAGTTGTCCACCCAACCTTCTTTCGGCTCAAAGGCGGCAGGTGTCACTGGATTTTTTTTATTTTTTTTTTGTAACGCAAATAGTTTTAGAAGAGAAAAAGTAATGGGAAAGTTAATTTAAAGTACATTTAAAATAATAATCAATAAACAAATATTTACCAGTGAACCGCGCCACAATGAGGGTATTAGTTGGCTGAGATGTGTATGGATGTATGTATGTGTGATTGTGTGAGTGGGTGGTTCTTTAGTGTGAGTGATATTTTGGGTGAGTTTTTTGTTTTAATATTCATGTTTGCATGTAAGTGATTCTATATGTATAAGTAGATATATTTATATTTGTGAGAGAACAATATGTTTATTTATGTTTGTAGGTTTGTATGTATATATGCATAATAGAGTATATGTAGCGTATATATGTATAAAAGTATGTACATAAATTTATTCTTGTATTTCTGCTAGACATGTCTTGTAATTTGTTGGTATTTCTGTGTGTAAGTGTAGCCAATTTAACCCTATAATCCTGGAAAAGTCTGCCTTACAGTAAACACAATTTCCACACATATAACAAGTTCTTATTACAAACGTATTTATTTAATTGAAACGAATAAAATTGCAAATTGCAGTAAAGAATCACTGCATGACCGATTATTTCTTTCAAGACTTAATACACGTACATATGTATATGGTCGCTACCAGGTCAGACTATCGAATGTGAAAATGGGTATTTTTCGGTGGAGCAAAAAAACTGTTTTGTGGGATTCGACACTTTGTTTGTCCTCTGCTTCTAAGAAGACTAGAAATTTCACGATTTGCCAAAACATTTTTGCACATTCGATAGTTTGACATAATAACGACGATATATGGTAATAGTATTCCTAACGTTTTTTTTAATATTTAAGGGTTTAATAGGTAAAAAACTGTAAAGAATAACGCCGTACTGCAGCAAGTCGAGCTCTTGGACGAAATCTAGAAGCGACTGTGGCACGGCTCCCTGATTGGAATCGTACCCACATTGGGCCGCAGAACTCTAAACGCGCTATTAGGTATAAAATGAGACTGCTCCGCATCCACCCACAGCTTTACTCCTCAGATGAGGAAGACCGCAATCAGGTGGACTAGTAATCAGTGTACGAGACTTAGTAGTTGGATGGTTCAGGCTGTAAACTTTTACACGGTTGAGCGAAGCTTAGAGGTCTCCACAGAGAACTCTCGATTACCCTCAAACTTAGGCTTCCAGATCACTACAGTGTTTTCCACGCAGTTTTAATTGTAATTAAGGAAACAGTAGATGAACTGCTCAATTCCGTGACATTGCCAAGGTCAATAAATATCTTCCTGAACTCCTGAACGCTCTTTTTGTTGGATCTGTTCATTTCATAGCCAGATTTATATATATAGAGTATATGTACTGCGTCACAATGATAGTGAAGGAAACTGTGTTGCGGATGAGTTGACTAGGAAATACATACTCGAGTTGGCCTCGCCGAAAAAAAGAGAGAGTAGCAGAACCTTTCACTACTCTTTGACAAAAGAGCCTTTGGTTTAGCTCAGCCAGCGTAGGGGGGGAAACAGGTCATGTGCAATTTCAAAGTCTTGCCCGCCTAAGATGGAACAGAGGTGGTGCAGGGTTCCAATGGCCATTTCATCGTTACCGAAAAGGAACCAAGTGGTTGACGCTAATACACGCGATTGGTTAGAAAGTCTTCTTCAATTTAGAACTATTAATTACATGCCAGGGAGGCTGCTGCGGTGTAGTGGTAAGCAGTGCGCGCTTCCACTCCGCAGGGCCTGGGTTCAAACCTTGGTCAAAACAACATCGCAAAAAAACTTACAAAAAAGGTTTTTTCTTAACAGCGGGCGCCGCTCGGCAGGCAATGGCAAACCTCCGAGTGTATTTCTGCCATGAAAAACAGCTTCTCCTAAAAAATACAATCGCCGTTCAGAGTAGGCGTAAAACTGTAGGACCCTCCTGTTTGTGTGACAACATCAAGGCGCACGCTACAGCTGTTTATTAAAAAATAAAAATAAATAAATACACTTCTCAAAAGAAGTGAAATTTCTGGGAGCTACGTATATCCGATGATAAGCTTTATTGGAATCTGCACCCAGATAAAGCCATTTAAACGGCCAGGGTATCCATGAGTCGCCTGAAAGCTAATGCGGAGGAACAGGGGCATCAGACCTAAATTGACATGGTGGATGTATGACACAATTTCCAAAACCAATCTAATAAATGCTGCGCCTGGTGGAGGACAACAGATGTGAATTCCACTTAGGACAAGTTCAGCGAACTCCAAAGTCAGCTTAGCTGCTGAGATGCGAACAATACTAACCGCTGCTATAGAGACGCTTCTAAACCTGCCTTCGTTGCACTTTGTAATAAAGAAAGATGGTCTTTTATTTACAGTACAGGGTACAGTGCGGAAGATATGAATCTGATAAAACCCTGAAAAGTTTAACTTCAAACATAACTCCAAGGTCTTTTTTCTTAATGGAACCAACAGGGACAATGAACGACCTAAATAGCTGAATGATAGCCATATTTGGTATATGGTTGGCTCCAAGCTGGTCTTACCGTCGGCTCCCTTTTACTAGGTCAAGGTCAATGTATAGAAAGTGGGGGAAGTGGGACACTATATATATATATGTATATACACTTAGGATTATTTTTATGCGGTTTTCTTTATGCGGATTTGAATTGCGGTTTTTCAAACAATTTTTTTGTTGTAGCGATTTTGCTTTTGTGGGAGCTGTATTACATTTTTTCAGTATGTAAGAGACAATGCTTATGATAATTATTTTGTCTTTGTATTCTTACATAATTAATGTATTTATTGTGGTATTTTTTTGTTTCTGGTTAAAATAGAGACAACACTTTATTTATTTCATTAATGTTCAGTTTTACATGGAATAATAAGTGTTGAAGTGAAGAAATAAGTTGTTGTGTTTTGCTCAATATTGACTCACAGAATTTTGTATGCAGTTTTTTAGATTTTTTTTGCATGGAGTATCTGAATTTATGCGGTTTTTCCGAATTTTTGTTTAATTAAAATTTTTTCAAACACAGGTAACGACCCCTAAATCTTTTTTCAAATTTTGAAATTTTCGTGGATGTCTTTATTTGGTACATAGAACAAGGATCACCCCAACATAAATACTTACATATATCTTATCATCTTTAATTAAAATTTTTTCCAACCCTGGTAGCGACGCCTATTTTTTAATTTTAAAATTTTCATTAATGTCTTTATTTTGTACGTAGAGCAAGGGCCACCCCAACATACACACATATATCTTATAACTACGAGTATTTACTTACTGATATCCATTACACTCAATTATTTTGCTGTTACATACATTTGTGTTTGCATAAAAAATATGCATTTTTATTTTATTCATATCAAAAACTAACACACACTTATACAGCATACTCATGTATGTATGCAAATCATGCGATTGTATCACTTAAATCTAAATAGGGCAACCTACAAATAAACAAATATAAAATTCATAACCGCTAGGTGCACTTTGTGCAAATAAAGCAAATCGAAGCAAAAATTTCAGCGCAGCTATTTTTTTTTTTTATAACATCCTTTATCCTTGCGGCATTACAGCATTCCTTATGTCTTTATGTACTCATCGGCTCACTTCAGCTGCTTATTGCATAGACGCTTTTAGGCGCTGATAAAGGACGCTATGCGATTATAAAGCCAATATACTAGTAGGCCTACTATCACAGCCTTACAGAAACGATCCAATACGTATAGGCTGTAAAAGTGAGAAATGCACACATGTAAGTACATAGTACATTACAGAAAGTTTATATTCACTGTTGCTCTCTTCAGCTGCTGACTCTTCTTATGCTTACATTTTGAGATTGCGACGTGCACGCGGCAATGATTCCGGCGTTTCTTTCATCAGATATAGGCGGCCACCATGCAGACAGGAGAGCATATATTCTTCAATGGACTCTTTCGGATCCATATCCATGTTAAAGCTGTATAGAGGTTTGATTAATCATTAATTAGTCTTAACTATTTATGAGCAAAATGTGTACGCCAACATTTGTTCTCTTTCTCTCTGCGTTTAGTGCTTACATTTTCTTATCTTCCGGTGTCAGCGATTTCCAGAGTCCATCAAATGCTGGAGATTTGAATACCCATGAACGCATCGAAAAGAATTGCAGCACACTCAGTCCTATTTGAATGCGACGTTGCACGCGTAACATACTAAAATTTAGATAGAATCATCAGTGGTGCTGAACGAAATCGAGTTTGAGACTTTCATAACACTTACAAACGCTTCTGACCCAACAGGAAGAGTATGGCATCTATGAAATATGCCGGCAACCAATGGAAAAGTATAACATTGATTTGATGATGCAATCGATTTGTTGTTATACAACCATCCGGATACCACAAACACAACTCCATCGGGTAATCATAACCAATTTTCTTGCCCATCTCGATAGCCTCGCCCCATTGCATTTTGCGATGCTCGGCTGCGGTGATATTGTAAATGGGTACGGAGGCGGGGCTGCAGAGGAACAAAAAGGCGCAATTTTAGCTTTGTTATTTAAAGTGTAAAAGAGAAAAACAATTGCTTTTTTTTTGTTCGCATACCGAGTTGCCTGCTTATTGAACTCGTAGGGCATAACGATAAGTCCATTGATGGCATAATCAACTGGTATAACTTCAGATTTGAAACGCGTATCGATGAGCATAGAACGTATAACACCTTTACCGGCGCCCACCAAAAGACCAGTGGGTCCATTCAAATTATCAACCCAACCGGGAACAGGTTCATACGCCGATGGCGATACTATATCATAGGAAAGGTAGGAATTAAGTTTAATTAAGTTTGGATTAGAAGGAAGGGATTGCATAAATAAGGAAAAATCGTTTGGGAAGGGATGTGGATTTGTTAGTTATTGGGATAGAAGGTTCCATGAAAGGATGTGTGAACAATGTTCTATGTATTTTCAGATGTTTATTTATTTATATGGAAAATGGGTGGAACGTATGGGAATGAAGGAGATTTCGGAAAATGTTGTACAGTAGCATATCAAAAAAAATAACTACATATGGAATATATATTTCGGGGAAACTGCAATATTTAGCAAAATGGAATAGAGTGGTGACAAATGGTTCAAAAGTCTTATGTTTGTGAAAGATCTGGTAGGGAGGTAGCGACTAGAGAATATGTCAACTGGTTTTATAAGTATATTTATTTGAAAAAATTTTATATTTTACGCTTAGAGCTACACCTTTTTGGTACCAATTTAGAGACGAGAATTAGCTAATATCTTACTATTTAGTTAATGAAGCTAAAGTCACAAAAGTCAGCCATGGACTAAGAGCGAAGAAAATGAGGTTGCAGAAACTTTGGATACCAAAGAGCAGGAGCTAATATGGGATACTTAAAGGACATATCTTGATAGGTAGAATGACTTCTGTAGGACTGTTGGGGGAAGAAAAGCCTGAATAAATTCCTAAGTATGGGATTTTTAGGTGATCTAGGCGCAACTTCAAAGTCTAGAATGTGGCAACTGCCAAGGTTCTTAGACCCTACGAATGGTTTTAAACTGAAGTAGGGGTTCTGGAGCCCCCAGTCGATGATGACGAGGTACGAATAGTAATAGCGCTGGAGCTGACAGCCTGCCAGCTGAGCTATTCAAGTACGGTGGCGAGGAGTTGATGAGGTGCATGCATCAACTCTTATGCAAAATATGGTCAGATGAACGCATGCCCGACGACTAGAATTTAAGTGTGCTCTGCCTAATTCACAAGAAAGGGGGATCAGTCTTTTAAGCATAGGTTACAAGGTCTTATCGAGTGTATTGTGTGAAAAACTGAAACACACTGTCAATGAACTGATTGGGCCTTATCATGAAAATCCAACGCAGAATCACTCATGCCATCAAGTGCTACTTTGGATTGAGTAGGCAATTCCGGAGGAAAGTCCTCCTCGACGCTCCACCTCTGAAAGTATTCCACTCGGAACCCGCTGGTGGTAGCAGAGGAAGAGGAAGGCCCCCACTGCAATGGAAAGACCAGGTGTAGGAGGACTTGGCTGCTTTGTTGAACTCAGCTAAAATCGCTTACCCGGTTACAGCGCCATATAAAAAGAAGAAGAAGTAGAAGAAGAAGAAGAAGAAGGAGGTGTATTCTGTCAGGGTACTAGGATCATTTCTTGTACGATAGAAACTGCTCAGGGAATGTCAGATCTCTTTCTCGACCACCTCGGATTATTTCCAAATCAAGTTGATTTGGGTCCCTGGACTTAGTGACATTATACGAAAATGCATAGCTGATCAGTTGGCTAGGCAGGGTACAACTGAGGTCATCTCTACGGATAGGGTGGTCATAGGAGTTTTTAAACGAAAACTTCGAAACATAAGTTGTAAAGTCATTTTGGGCGATGGTCGACTGCGGGCGGTCAAAGGAACTTCTGCAGCGCAAGACTCGGTTCGGACAGTTGTCCTGAGCGAACTTTGTTTTATGGATGTGTCCTGGATCTTTCGGTAAAATACAGGGTGTATAACCTAAAAGGATCCTATAGATATATAGTAAATATACAGCAGTGCTTAGAGCAATTCCTACCAGGGAAAGTACACAATGCATTACTGGTTTTCGCACCTAAATTCATTCTTTTAGGAGGAGGCTGCGAAATCTCTCTACAGGCTGGAGTCTTTGAAACAATGAAATGAAAATCGTGACTTAAATGGAAGCACATTGCCTCGATTAGAGGCATTGAATATACCTTTTGATTCCTGTATACCGGAGTTGAATTTACTTAGATTATTTGATGGCATTATACCAAATAGGGACTAATAGCTTGTGAAATGGAAATCAGTTCTGGGCATATTTACGGGTGATTCCAAATCAGAACTTGGCTCTGGAGCAGGGATATTTGTTGAGCAGGATATCATTCAACTTTTCCTTCATATAGGGCGAGAGCTGGAGGCTCTTTCCTACCCTATTGTGTAGGTAGACTACGTTGAGAAATAAAATAACGCTTTTCGCAAAAAATCCTTTCTTATATGCTACAGAATCCGTCGTAGGCCGAAATCTACGAAAATGCTGTCATTAAATCTTAATAAATACGAACGAAGCATATACTTTGAACACATACGTTCTTAGCAATTCGGATTCAGAGATCGTATTTTATGAAAATCGGACTACGATGGTTTCAGCGATCACCCAGAATAAGGTTTTCATTGGAAAATATTTGGAAATGGGTTGCCACCTGTTTTAAAAGTCGAATTTAAATTAATTATACTCATGTTAATGTGTCAAAAGTAAGAGCGTTTTAAAATGTGCAGCATGAACATGCAGAATTTTCTGAGGTATTTGAAGAGTATTGCTATTTTAAAACTAAATTCAAATATCTACAATTACAATATAAGTTAAATGAGTTATTACGATATTAATCGAAAGAGCCTCGAAAAAGCTTAATTTCAAAGCAAAACATGTAAAAAATGTTAAAAAATTCAAATTCAATATGAATTATAGGAATTAGGTAATTTGAATACATATGTATGTATCAAAATATGAGTGTCAGACGAAAGATGTTTAAAAAGGTTTAAATCCAAACTATTCAACAAGTTCAATGGATTGTTACAATAAGGGTATCAATCTAACTGGTTTTGAAAGGACTTCATTTCCAAACTACTTGCAGGTAAGAAAAAGTATCACAAGAGAGAGGTTTAAGAAAGTCTTAGTTTGTAAATATATTGAAGATGGTTAAAAAATGTAAAATCTTCTGTCTCTGGCATAGTTTAAGTATGTTGAGTCTTATTGAAAATACACATTAATGTAGCACACAGAAATTTCATGCACTCAGCGAAGAGGGTGAGGGCGATCTAGTTCTTTTATAATTAAAAAATTACCACCCTGATATCGTAATTTTTTTTCTCGGACTACAGAAAAGCGAGGTTAAAAGTCTGCCCATTTATTTAGGAGTAATTGAATAATTCTCCCCACATACAGCCTACGAGTAAAATCAAACTTGTTTGGCACTAAGGACTACGTCGAATCATTGTGGCATTGCATTAAAGATCATTATTACGATATTAACTGAATGCTAGCTTAGACATACACGTAGACTCGTTTTCCTTATAAGGTTTACCGGTTGATAGTAAAGTAATAAGTTGGGTAGTTCTTCTTTGGCGTATGTTTTGGAGGATGCTTACCTACTGAAAAGGCCTCTAAAGGAGAGTTAAGTTCAGATACCAATAGTCTTTATAGGTATGCCAAGAATGGCATTAGATTAGAACGAATTGGAATATCTCGGAAAATGGTATTTACAACATTTATAAAGGAAGCGGAAGGGTAAGGATAGTAAATATTGGTTAGGGATAAATGAGAATAGGTGAATTAGGTGTAAAAAAACTTTAATGAAAATGTGCAGGAACTATGCATGTATCTATAGAAAAAGGTATGCAATGTTAAGAGGAAAGGTTTTTGTCTGCAATCCACATTATTGTGGTCTATAGAAGGAGTGAGGAAAATACAGGTATTTATTGGTTTCTAAGGGCACTCAACATAATATTTGTATTGGTTTGTAATAAACATACCGTTTATCTTTTAGCTGTAATTATTTCCTTCATATTTTATGCAAAGCAACAATAGCACGCAGCAAAATTCAAACACAAAGGATCAAGCACTGGTTTAAGCTCAGTGGAAGCAATTGCAACGCCAATTGTTTTTTTAGCTGAAAGTGTAAATTGTTTCTGGACGTGCCTTTGCGTTGGTGAATAGCAAGTCAGTGGTATAGCGTAACCAGCCTTATGCTTGTGAAGCTGTTCAGGCATACATTGTCAGCAGCGGTATTGCAACGTTTCATTGACACTTTTGAAAAGTTCGTTCGTACCTCTTTCTTCGTCGACGACAATGCTATTGTGGTGAAGGTGGCGAGCGTTTGCGTTTGCGAAGCACTTAAGCTTGAGTTTATATTGGATGAGCATAGATAAGCTTGTGGTGGACAGATGGTATTTGTAAGCGCATTTTGTAAGCATCGTTAGAGTACATAGATAGGTATGCATGTAAGTATTTAGGCCTTTGCTGGCATGTATGTATGTAATGGTATGTAAGCAATTCTCACAGTGTTTCCGTTGTTGTGGCAGTGGCTGTGACACATATCAGTCACTAAAAAATTTAATATTTTTTCTGTTTGTTTTTATATATTTTTGCAAATAAACTCACAATTTTGATTTTCATTTGGCCGAAAATAAATTTTGTTGTTAAACTTATTCAATTCTTAGCATATTTGTATGATTCTTTCAACTGCACTTGCACTTAACATAATTTTTTGATACTTTTTTTCTTCTTTTAATGTAATGATAAATTTTTTTATGATACGAATACATGGCGAATGAGTTCACAAACCATTGCGGAATAAGTGATACACGTGATACTTTTGCAATATCTTTCGAAATATATTTGTAGCACTAAGAGTTAGTTGTTTTTTGTTGTTTTCCTTTTTTGTTTAGTTACACAAGTCAAGCGAGCGTAAAGAAGCTTGAGTGTTTATAAAGCATTTTGATTTTTAGGAAAGCACTTAACACAAATGCACACAAAATATCAGCCGGCGAATGTAAAGCGATCGGAAGGTATGTAAGCTCTTTTGAAATTTCGATTCCAGAAAGTGGTTAGGCATAGTTTGACATAGGAAGGCTTATGTTTAAATTTAAATAAGACATACATATGGGTTATATGTAGATAATACATCATAGAAACATACATATACATAGATATATGGACAATATATGTACACACATATGGGTGCTTCATCAATAAAATTTACGATAGAATATTTCGGAGAGGTATTAATATTTCTGTGAACTGTACCAATTTGAAAATACCTCTAAAAATCTCACCATTTAAATTCCGTTGTTAAACAGCTTTATGCAGACCTCTTAAGCTTAAAATATTACATAATCCGAGGTGATTTTTTTGGAAAAAAACTACTTTTTAGAGGCGTTTTTAAACCGGTTTAGCTCAAGTTAATTTTAAGGTTTTCCCGAAAAAACTGGCAGTATTCTTAAAATATAATAAACTTATAATTCCAAAAGAAATATAATTGTAGGGAGATTGAAAGTTTGAGTAGAAATTTTTCAATATAAAGGCTGGGATGTATTTTTTCTTACAAATATAATAATTTCATAAAATGTATACTAATAATAAATTTAAGTGATATAAATAAAATATGAATGAGTTTTGTTGAAAAAATATACTCAAAAAACTTAACAGATAAATTGTACTCGTCTCGCACAGTAAAAATCCTCGCAACATTTTTTCAGGGCAATATGTATATTGAAGGCTCTTTTCTCTGTTTCGAAAGACTAAATGAAAGATCTACTAACGTGGAGGTCTTAGAGTTATTCTCTTTGCTTTTAAGAATAAGTTTACTAAAAAATATGAGTATATATGTATATATTAGACTATGCCAAATAAAACGAATGTTTTTTTCTTTCGGTCCTATATGAAAATTTCGAGCGAGCTGTGGGCATAAAACGGCACGTATTAGAATTAGTTGTAGTTGGTATACCCGCCACATCAATCAATTGCTGATACTTAAAATCTTCTATCAAACTATGTACGTATGCCTACTCAAGTTTTTCCGCAGAATTGCATTTAAAATCAAGCAATCATCTCATTCAGTTAGTAACTCGCTGCAAAATGAATGCTTGCACAGAAAAAAAAAAGAAATTACACAATCAAACGCACAATGCTGCGCGGAATTATGATATCTACTACTCAATTTGCTTAATTGGCTTGTGTTGCAAGGTAAAATTACTGTACGAACAGGCATTGACTGTGCTGGGACAAAAGCAAGCAGCAGCAATGTTGAGCAACATGTTGCCCAGCAACCATGTAAATGCTTATACTCAAATAGATTGGGCGGCATTGTACAAACTTTACGAATTGTTATTTTATTTATTTTTTTTAATTTGCAATAATATTAAAGCGTCAAATTTAATTAATATTAATGCAAGGGAAGGGCGATTGACCTGAAATGGGGTACATTAATTTGCAGCAAATTTAAATTTCTATTAAAGCTGAGCTGCACAAATATGTAATTGCATTAGATGCTTAAATATTTTCAATGAAATCCATGAGGTATTAAAGCATTTAAGAGATTGCTAATTTCGAAGGAAAATTAAGCTTTATGCGCCAAACCCAACTTAAAGCTATTCTATTTTACATGACCAATAAAATACGGATATCTTCCTTTATAATTATGGTCTTGGTACTCACCAATACTGGGACGGGCTATAATCACCGGCATCGTTTCATAATGATCGCGCACCAAGATCTCAGCTAAACGTTTCGAGTAGGTGTATGTGTTTGGGTGTGGCTTAAGCAATTCGGGTGTGATGGAATCGAGTGTCTTAACATCCATCCACTCGACCAGACGCATGAGATCTTCTGGCTTGTGTGGATATTCATAAACCTTTTCGTACATAACTTCCTGATCGCAATTGCAGAAGGCGGTGGAAACATGTACGAATGCCGCAAGTCCCTTCATTTGCTTGGCAATGTCGAGTGCACGACGAGTTCCTGTGGTGTTCATGTCAATGGCATCCTTGAGATTGCCCTCCAATTTGAGTGTTGCCGCCATATGGAAGACGATGTTTGTATTGTCGATGACATACTTCAAATTTTCGCCACTAAGCCCGAGATCTGAGGGGAGAGGAAAGTATTTAAAATTTTAATATAACTTTGATCAAATTAACAGTGGAATGATAAATGCATAATATATAGTAGATAATGCATAAAAAAGTAGAATTTGATAATAGGTAAATAATAGAAAATTCAAAATAGCAAATAGATATTGCATATTTAATATAAAATATAACAGAAAATAAATAAAATATAATAGCTAATATATTGAAGAAAAACTCAAATAGATAATACATAATACAGTAGATAATAGACAAAAGAAAATTGTTATTAAATAATAGATAATACTGGGGTAGGCGCTCGAAGTGTTGCCAATTAAATTATTCGAAGAGTAATACACGTTTATTAAAATCTAACTAGTTTTTATTAGGAACTGATGTTTTTAAATAGTAAAAAGAAATAGAAAAAAATATAGCATTTTCTATTAGTAACACTTCGAACGCCTAGCCCTGTAAATATAAAATAGATATTAGATATTTAATTTCTCTTCATTAACACTCAACTTACTTTCATAAGTCACATCACCATTGAAACTGGTAACTTTCTTCAGCACCTCGGGTTTCTCTTCACGTATACGTTGGAAAATGGGCAATTTAAACATTTCCTCCAAACGAACTTCGGGGCTCTTTCCGCGTTTTGGACGTACAATAATAATGACCTCCTTCAAAGCGGAGCAAGAATACAACAGCTTTTCGACCAAAACTTTGCCCATAAACCCCGAGGCACCCGTAATGAATATGGTTTTGTCCTTGTAGAACTCCTGAACTGGCGTTAATTCCGGCATTTTGTATTCTGCAAAAATTAATAATTAAAAATAAAATAAATTTTACAACTAGGAATGGGAGATCGTAAAGGAATATAAAAGGGTTAATATAAACCATTAAACAGAAGTATGTTTTTTTTAACTAGTACTCCAAATAAAAAAGATAATTTGACTCGGCATCCATGGGTAAATACCAAAGGCAAAGGCGCACCCAAATAAAATGGAAGGACCATTCGTCGTAAATTCAGGAAGGGGGTAGACAAATGGCGAGGTTTTTCGTTTCGGCACATGCCCATCGTAGCGCCATCAAGAAGAAAAAGTAAACAGTTAAACATTTAGGTTGACGTTCATTTAGCCGTCGCGGCCATGAGCCATGATGGCCCATATTTGATTTGAAAAGTTAAATAACGTTTATTATAGTCTGAAATATAAGCTTGTGGGAGCGGACAGGCTATTGAATATGAATCGGATTTTAATATTATTGAGTCTATGTGATGCCGCTATTTGGCCAGCCAGTTTTGGTGGGGAAAAAATTAGGAAACTCCCTTCACATCGCATATCCAACTATTAGGACGACCGACACATGATCAAAAAAATATTTTATTTTACTCACAAAAATACAGTAAAGATAACCTATAGCTCTCCTTTTTCTTTCGTTTTTGATGTTTCTGTAATATTCCGTAAATCAAAACCCTCTAGTTAAGGTTTTATTCCATAATTAAAAGGCTTCTAGAATGCACTCATATTTTTTTACGAACTCTCATATCGCAAAATGGAGCTAGGTAAGTCAGTGAATTTTTACGAGTTAAATTTGTGTACATATAAATTTTGGTTACCTGAAAACTGGACATAAATTTTTGGCAATTGAAATAGTTAACAACTAGACATAAAATTTATGGAAATTCAAAAACTGTGCAAAATTTTTTGGTAATTTAGAAATTTTTTTTTTGAAATTTCTGGCAACTTCAGGATTGGGCACAAATTTCTAGTAATAAAAAAAACTGTTGATTTTTATTGATAATATAAGATTTTTGGCAGTTTTGAAACTGGATGTAATTTTTGGAAATTAAAATCGGTCTTAAATCTTAACTAGAAATAAATTTTTAGTCGCTTAGTTTTTGAGAATTTAAATAATTAAACATTGGGCATTAATTTATGGCCGTTTAAAAATTGGAAGAAATTTAAAATACTGGATAAACAATTTTTGTAATTTAAAAAAAAAATAAAAGAGTCAAATTTCTGGGTTCTTAATAACTGGAATACAAATTTCTGTAATTTTAAAGCAGTAATTAAATCATAAGAAAACTTTTCATAAAATGTTTGTGGTGTCTTTTTTGAAAGATGTATAAAATAGTATATGGACGGAAAACTAGGCAACAATTATTGATTTCAAAAATAGGACATTAAGCTTGTAACTGAACCATTTTACAAGTAAATTTCATACTAGTAAATAATTTTGTTCTCTTTGGGCAATTCAATAATCATTACCTACTTTTCACAGTCCACATTGTAATTCCACTTCTCACAGATTTGGTATCACTTTTGTGTCCAGCTTTTAAATTGCAAAAAATTAATGTCAAGATTTTACTTTAACGCATAAATTTTTACATTCAACACCTATAAAATTTTTGCCACAACCTCCGCTAGTCAAAACGATATACAACTCAGAGTCCGCCTTTGTCATAAATAATACAAAAATGTCTGCAATTAGTTTCAAAATAATTAAAATTCCAAACCGTACTAACAATACTCTATTATTAGAAAAGCCACACCATTTATGTGCATAGCTGGCCTGCTACAAAACCTTTCGGTGCTGCCAAATAATGAAGGGTTCAAGTAACCGAGTAATAGCTAATAGAGCTGGGTGGTGGTGATTTATCAGTTATGATCAACTCAAGTGAGCAGTGGCACAACAATTAACCACAAAGGAGCCATTAAAGTACCCGAGTGGCCATTTGTACAAGCAGAAGTAGCTTAATGGGCGGGCGCGACGAGCAACCCACAGCAATGGCCAAGTATTATTAATGGTTATTTTTGAGTGTCACTGTTGTGGCAGCAAGTGACTGTTACCCGATTGCAATGAAAATACGTACAAGCGCAGCAGTAAAGTGTGGCACTTGAGGTGCTGCATGAAAGGTACTTGTTGCAATTGCAAACGAGTAAGTCGGGTAAGTTTGCTTTGCGGTTCATGTGATACCACATTTTCTAAGGTTGCAACAAAATGTTGTGCGCCTGCTGTTGCAACTACAAAAAGATGTTAGTTTATGTGCCAGTGTGGTTTTACAAGCTTTTTTTCTTTTAAATTTTGCAATAAATTTTCCTTTCGAAATAGAGAATGCGCGCATGCGCATGCGTCGCGCTGATAGCCAGCTGTAGTGAAACAGGTTGCCGCGCGCATGCGAACGAGCACGACGAGTACAAGTTGTAGCCGTGGCAGGCAGATAGCTGCACGCGCAATTGCCAATATCCATAGCGCTTTTACGGCATTGCATTTACGCTGCGGTTATGTAATGAAAGTAGCGCTGAATTGGAAAAGTGGTAGCGTATGTGAAAATCAAAATACACACACAGCGATGCGAAAACAAAAAATGAAAAACAAAAAAAAAATACAACAGGCCAATTTGATTGTGAGTAACAAGTGGCACGAATTTGCTGCTACCGTTGCTGCCGCTGTCTCGACTTGAAATGCGCATAGAATTTGTGCTCAGTGGAGTGGAGCCGCTACATTCCGCACAGCTGTGTTGTTGCTGTGAGAGTGTGTAAGTATGCCAGAATTAGCTGCTTAAATGACGGCAATTGCCGTAAGCGGTTCGTACAATAAATGGTCAATTGGAGTTGCAAATAGCATGCGGTTGGAAAAGTGATTGCTATTGCGCAGCATTTTTCGTTGCTTACTCTTGCCGCAGCGACATCGTCGTGTGTGCTGTTGTTTACATTATGGCTATAACTATTTAATTGTGCTGTATGACGGCTTTGTTGGCGCACAGATGTTGCAATATCAGTTGGACATAGCCAGTTTGAATATATCTTGAAATTTCCAGGATCGCACTCACACCAATGTGGCTGTTTTTTGTTTTTTTTTTTGCTGAAAACACACAAATCCAGTAAATTTCATGTGTCGAAAAGTGTTGGACTGAACTGTTCATGTTCAACAATTTAAAAGACAAAAAAAATATGTTTTTTTGTTATGGCCATTTGCTGTGGCAATATGAAAGTGAATTAAACATATGCACACCATATCGTACCAGAAAATTAAAAGCTTGCCGTACACTCGCGTATATAAAGTATTTTTGTAAAGCATTTTGAAAAAAATTGTGTTTTTTGTCCAACACATATTACCCCTTTTTCACATCTTGAAGTGTAATATACGGCTGTTCTTGCCTCGAGGAGAATTTTTTATATTCATTGTTCATTGACCTTAAATACTCCTTTCTAGTACTTACCCACCACATCTCAGTTCGTATCACCCTTATCCTTACCTAACTTACCACCCTAATGCCAGTAAATTTAAGCTCGCCATAAATTATTATACTTTTTCTAAGAAAGTATTTTGATTGTTCCAGTAGAACTATAAAACAAATTATTCCTGAATGTGTGCAGGTGTCACCGGAAGATCTAAAATCTAGGTTCGGATAAAAAAAGGGGGAAAAAATGTTTTTCGAAATGCCTTCCAAAAAAATTGTTGCTCAGGTCTGTACGGTGTAATGTACATAGTTTATTTTATTTTACAAATAGAGACTGTTGGTAACATCTTTCATCGGAATCACTAACGTTATCGCAGTATTTATTGATATATTCATATATGTTAAAATCTTTATTGACTTCGATACCAGATGACAATCAGTATAGATATCAATGCATTAGTTGAAGTATTCGTCGATGTAATAATCGATACATATATCGATAACGTAATATTTATCGAGTTTTTCATAAACGTTAGTTATCAGTGTGTTCCTTAAAGTTTTGTAATTTCAACTTGTTATTCTAATTCCACACATATTATTGCAACAAACCTGAGTTTTCTTCCCATTTCCCATTTTGTTGTTTATTCATCTTATGCTTCATATATTCATAGTACTATGATACAATTTGGATCCAATATTTCTGAAATATCGTAGTTTTTGATTTTTTTCAAAAAATACTGTTATATGGGAAGTGGGCGTGGTTACAGTCCGTTTTCGCCCATTCTCAATACCAACTTACCTCGGATAAAGGGCAACCTACTTACCGAATTTCGCTGAGATGTCTCAATTTTTACTGGAGTTATCGTGTACACGGAGGGACGGACAGACGGACAGATATGGCTTAATCGATTTCTCTATTCATTCTCAGCATTTATGTATACATTTGTCTATAACTATCTCGATTCGTTTTGGCTGTTACACACAACTGTTATGTGAACAAAGTTAACATACCCTTGTGCACAAGTGCGCTCTCGGGTATTAAAAAAGTAAAGATAATCCCGAATGCGTCAGTTTTATTGATGCATTCAAGCAGTCATAAGGTCATTTCAAAGTAACTAACGTTTATCTTAAAAATGTCTCTTTATTAGTTTTGCCTTCAATTATAATGCCGCACCAAAAACAACTATGTACTAGTTAACACATTTCTACATATATAAATAAGTTTATATGAATATTTAAGTGGGGCCATTGCACTGGCGCGTTCAAAGTCCACTGCGAATTACTGTTTATATTATTTATATAGTTTGTTTTTTTTTTTTTTTAATATACTTGGTACGTATATGCACATTTTATTTTACAAAATATAAACATTGCCACATGGCCCGCACCGGTTATTTCAAAGCAAGAAACCAGTAAGTACATATGTAGCTCACAGCTGAGCGTCTACCAACCGCCACTTTCGTTTGTCTGTATTGTCGTCGCTCAACTATGTACTAAATACTACTTTGGTATGCTCCAATTGCGTTATGCCGCACGTATAAAATTGTTTTCGCATTGTAAAATCACTCGGAGCTATGTAGAAAAATATGTAAGATAAATGTTTAAAATTAAAAGAGCTTAGTAAT